GGTAAAATGCTGAAACCATGTTGCAGTATTAGTCGAATTAATAAACTTTCCCCATGTTATTTTGACGATTATTTGCAGTATTATTGATCAGCTGTCCTACCTCGTTCGTATAAAACAAACCGCATGTCCCTACGATGCCCCTATATGCTGAAATAATTAGCGGCGAAAATCTGGTATTTTCGCCGAACACCGACTAGATTAGTCAGTTACTGTGACCGTCTCTCGTGTGGGCGGAGTGTACGGCCCACACTGTGGCCAGTGTGTTGCTTCCGGTCGCCGCTGTGTAGCGCCATAGTGGCGCTGACTCACGTCATACTACCAGAGTTTACTATACATCCAGCGTGAGGTGGGCGTGAGGTGGGCACAGGTGGGGGTCATCACTATGGCAATCAATAACAAACGTCATTCATTCCATTTGTCAATCATTGACGGAAACACGCGAGGTTTACCGAAGTTATAACACTTCGAGAGACGGTCGCAGTAACTGACTGTTCTCGAGTCGGTTTTCGGCGAAAATACCAGATTTTCACTGCTCATTATCTCAGCGTAGGGGCATCGTAGGGACATGCGGTTTGTTTTATATGAACAAGGTAGGACAGCTGATCAATAATACTGCAAATAATTGTCAAAATAAAACGGGGAAAGTTTATTAATTCGACTAATACTGCAACATGGTTTCAGCATTTTACCGTTGTACGCTCTCCTTCTTTATATGCTCTTGATATAATGCGTATCGAATCTAATATAAGAATATTATATCATACATAAAATAATTGTGTAAAATATTTTTACAGTACATAATTGAGTCTCAGCTCAATCACCGTGGCTACAATACATCTGAAGCCATGATTTGCATTAAGCCACGAGAGGTAAATATTAAGTCTTGTTCCTCTCTCGTACAATAAAACGTCTTATCGGTTACCGTCTATGGAATACCTGCTTGAAGCATAGAAAGGTCAATTTTGGCGTTTTCTTGAGTGCCAGTTATGCAGTGAAACTGTCTCTATAGAACAGGCACCAATATATAAAGGATACTTGTCGTGTTTCTATTGTATGAACCTTACATGCATGTGTGACTAGGTAATGTTTGCATTCATTTGCTATATTATAATGTATGGTATTACTATATTTACATAGATAATACGTTTGTTCTGTTTGCACTCAAGTGCACAGTGACTTGTATGTGATAATGCATAATGTAAATACAAGATATTAGGATTTGTTCTATATTATTCTATATAGGGTCTTTGTCTTTGAGAATCGTCATTTAATACCATGCGTGATAAGACAAAATAAGCCGGTTGTGAATTATGCAGGGTGAGACCATGCTCCATACAAAAGACATCTTGGACAGGATAAATGAAGAAGGTGACAGTGTAGCCATCATAATGTTTAGTGGCGTCCAATATTACACTGGGCAGTTATTTGACATGGAAAGTATCACGAAAGCTGGCCAAAAAAAGGTGTGCATTTTAAGGCTCATAGGGTCTATTATGTTTATATGTCCCCCAGGGTACTGCCGGAACGTACCCTGGGTACGGTCCAGTATACCGGAACGTACCCTGGTAACTATCTGATATGGTTAGGGTTAGGGTTAGGGAGTAGGCGTAGGCGACTCCCTAGACTCGTTAGTAGAGTAGGCGGAGGTACGGTTCGGCATATTAGATAGTACCAGCAGAGCATATAAATCATGTTGATTTATATGCTCTGGTAGCCGAGGTACGTTCCGGTATACCGGACCGTACCCAGGTTACGTTCCGGCAGACCTGGGGACATAGACCCTGCTCAGCCATTTTAAGGTGTACTGACATCTGCGATTATGAGTAGTGGGGGATTCTGTACATAAACAGTTTGTGTGCACTTGACACAAGGCACAATGTGAAGACCGCTGTTGATTTAAAAGTCAATGGCTAATTGATTTCGTGAATGGGTCTTGGGATTTCGAGTTTCAGCGTTTGGGACAGGGGCTAGTTTGAGCGCGAGATGAGATGAATATATTGGCAATCGGGTTTGTGCCGAAAGTACACGTTCCTTTCATTGTTTGGTTTTCCATTTAATAGTGCGTTTCAAAGTGCTCCATGGCAATAATAGTTACGGTTGTATGCAATCGGGCAGCAATGGTGTAAATGTACAGGCATTTTATTAATATTTTTAGGGTTGGCATGTGTTGGCATTGATTTGGCAGCATGCTGTAGGTAATGTACCATTGCATCTACATGACTGGGAGTAGACTTTGCATCGTGGTGCACTTATAAAGTGAGTATCACATGTTTTGTAAATTAATCGTATTGCAAAAATGAAAAAAAAACTGTCAAGTGTGATATGCATTGACCATTTTCTGATATCTCTGATATTATTGATATTGTTCATTGTGTATGACTCATGACCTCTTTCAGTTGTGAAGTGTTTAGTGAAACGCGTTTTTTTGCCATTGATGTTTAATTGACAAATAGAAATTGTTAAAAACATTGCTTAAATATGTCATCAATGAGAGCATACAGGTAAGTTGGTAAACTAACTATAGTAGAGCAATATTCTCTACTAAGTCTCACATTTAGAGTTAGTTATGTAACATAGTACGTTTACACACCAAAAACAAATCATCTATTACCATCTGTGCATCATTAGGGCATTGTGGCTATCAAACGCTGTGGTACTGGTCACCTCCCCTCTCTCATCCATCCTCTATAGAATGGGTAACTGTCCTACTAAAAGACACTGGCGTTTCGTCACTCACAGTCGTAGATGAAGCCCGCGTTCTATAGAACGGACCGCCTCTGCTGAAATAAGAAATATGCAGTCCTTTCAGCTTGAGTGACCTTCATACAGCTTTGACTGTACAAGTATTAATAGCCTACATTCTCAGTTTTCGTGAAGTAGTAATGATTCTGTGTGATTCTTTGCAGTATCTGAACACGTGGCGAGGCTGTATAGCAGGCGTGTTTATTCACTGAGAAGCATACATCACGCTGTCAAGCCAACCGAAACCGGCTGGTGGGGGCCACGACATGCAACTCGCTTTAACATGGACAACATAACGTAGATGAAGTCAGGCGTTAACATTGCAGCAGTATTTATCTGAAACATATATCCTGTTTTACATGAGACCAAAAGTATGAACTAAATAGCTCCTATTTGTTACGCCTTGCATCATTTGATTTAGTGTGTCCTTCTTTGCGTCGTTCTTGGCATTAGACACTTGGAACTCTCTAATGTGACTATGTCATCATTTAAGATTGCTTACCTCGCAGCTAAATGCCATATATAGACTACTGTGAGCTGCGTCTCTATAATGCAAAAATTCACGTAGAAGCTCATTTGTATTGGCGTACTTTCCATACATTTCTTCCAAATCTAAGCGAAATTACTTATCTTACGAAAGAACACCACAGTGATGTTTTACACATCAGACACAGCGGAGGCGATGCGTTAACAGTTCTCTTCTATATATAAACACAGTTATAATTTCATTATTATGTGTTTTATTCAAGTTTACAAATTTGAAATTTGTTTAAATCATATTGTTATCTAATATTACTATTGCAATTGAGGAACAAATATAGTGTTTTCGTTCGCAGGAACTATTTGCGCTAGCGTAGGGCTACCTGCTGCTGAAGTGTCTATGTCCCCCAGGTTAGCTATTGGAGCGGTACCCTGGGTACAGTTCGATATATCGGAACCATACCCTGGTACTATCTAATATCTGACCGTACTCGCCTACTCTACTAACGAGTTAGGGAATCTGCCTACTC